CATGTTCTGGGGGAGTGGACGATCATTCCTGCCTTCATTAGAATCGCTCAAAGTCCAATCGGTGAACGCTTCTAGGCCCAAATTTCCTGTCACTTTGGCGGCACCCTGAGTGGAACGATGCCACGAAAACACCAATTATAAGCCAAGGAGCTGGGAAGTAGAGCGGTATTATTGGGCCGCCAAGCGGACCATCTGTAGACTTCATCAGAAGCTCAGCCCACAGTGTCCAGGCGGGCTGAAGCTGATGCACGGGTTAAGCTGCGATATCATGCAGACCATATTGACCACCAAAAACACCACATGGCCCCTTACTCCCTCACGCGCGCTCGCTCATGCACTGGCATTCAAAGAGGGACGGAAAGGGGCACCCTCAAATCTGCTCTTATGACTCAATTATAAGCTATCGAGTCAAGGTCGTTTACAGCCGCAATATCCATAACTGACAGTGACTCTGCTTGTCAGTGCGCTCCAAAAATAAAAGAGTAATTTGTTAATGTCCAGATCTGAGGTGAGGTGTGAATGTTGACGGTCATGTAACAGTTTAACCAAAGCCCGGAGGAGCCAGCAGAGTAAACTCCAATTAGGGCATCTGATTTATCTTTGGTTGCGTCTATTCTCCACAGAGCAGTGGCACTGCCCGACGTGGATTTTATCAGTGCGCAGTAGCCCAGCAGGATCTTCCTGTGCGCTTTATGTGAAAACTTTACAAAGACGTCCTATTGTCTAATGTGTACTCACCATCCATAATAACGGTCTTCATGATTTAGATGGGGGTGAAATCCAGCAGATGTATAAATCCAAGTAGAATGAATCCCAGAGCGCGCAGAGACAGCTAGGATATCCGCTGTTTATTGCAATTTATGGGCAATTGCAGATCCAGTGCACGGTGGGAGACGGACAGCCTAAAGCATCCCTGCACCCTTCAAAACTTTAGCCGTAGGTCTTCCCAAGTGGGGAGCCACGTTTCCGGCTGCACCCGAGCTCAGTCATTTGGACAAGGGATTTAAAAACAGTCAGCAATAAACATCCAAATTGGGATCAGTAGTCGACACGCCAGTCGACACCTCCTCAAAATACAGGACGCGCGCAGAGCTCCAGAGAAGAGCTCAAAGTGTTACGCAGAAGTGGAGAATCAGCGACACAGGAAAAAAAATAATATTGGATCCATCTTTTAAAATCGCAGCATATATCCAGTCCGATCACTTGTCCCGGTGTATATTTCCCAAGTACACGGAGAAAAGTGTGTGGTGGATGCGCGCGGATGTCGGCTGCACTGGTGCGCGTCAGTGTGCGATTACCAGAGGGAGGTGGAAAGGGAAGGCGGGGCAGCGAGGTGCGTTTGGCGGAAAGCTATAGAGAAACAGGGGGGCTGTATCATGCTGCAAACACGTTTCTCTTAAATCTCAGTGTAATTTTCAGATCAGTCAATTCAAGCTTGTGTTATTTTTCTGTCGTGTAAAGCGTTTTTGACAAGATATTTTAAAGACCTATTTTGTCTTATTATTAAGGCAAATAGATTTTTTTATTTCTTTTATATCCCGTATCTTCTGTCTGGATTTCTAGTACCTATAGTTATCGAATCTCTGACAAACAAAAGTGCATAAGAAAAAGGTGGACTAATTTGACCTAACTGGTGGACTTTCAAGATTTTAAGAAACTGAGGGAGAAGGAAGCAGAGACTTAATGACTTATTCAGCCAGACGATTCTTGCAGCAGGGCTGTGCTCTAATAAATGTTTTATGTGCAGGGGCTGACGGGTTGGTAGCGGTGGTGGGTGGGTAGGTAGAAGGTGACGTGAGGCGAATCTATTTGGATCGGACTTGGCCAGGCGTGCACTTGCATACGAAAACACCCCCAAATACAGGCGAAGAGCCAGGCCTGCTGGTGGGACCTGCGCTTCCTCCTGGGGACAGTTTGCCAGCTCGGTTGTCGTGGGCGCAGTTGAAAAAACAAAGATTTCAGTTCTGCTTCGTTAACTGGACAGACAGAATAACATTTTAAAGCCTTAGACCTGCCCGAAACCCGGGACTGTTTTAAACGCTCTCTTTTTTAATTCTTAGACTTAAAGCATTTCCCGTTTTTGCTATTAAAATGTATTTCTCATATCTTGAAATTGTCGTTATTACTACTACTATAATTATCATCATCCTTACATAGGCAGATTTTTTGTGTATTTTCTTTCCACGTGGAAAATCAACGTGCCTGCAAAGAAAACATGTTCTTGAAGAAAATCCGACATGCATTTGATGTGATAATGGTTCTTTTAAAGCGTGAATATTTAGCAGCAAAGACACTGCCACTGCTGACTGGAGCGAAGATCAATTCACTGTGGCTGTGGTCTGCAGCTAAGCTGGGTTGCTGAAACCCAGGAGGATTGGATTCACAGCAGCGGTACATTATCTTTAGGTGCCACACGCCCCCTACCGGCGAACATAAAAATAGATTTTCTGCTCCGTGGACAGAGACAGAATAGCTTCATCTTTGGAAGTTCCCCGCTAAGAGACAGCAGGGAGTCATAATGCATAAATGTTTATAATCTGTGGGTGAAAAAAACAATTCACAGTGTAGACTCTCTCTCTCTTCTCTACCTATATACAGTATATGGATGTACATTAATAATGAAATATGGGAAACTACCTGAACTGCACACTCAGTCTTACAGCTGTTGAATATAGATTTATACAGACAGTACTAGCTTGTGAGACTTATGAGGCATACTTGGACAGAATCAAATGTTTATGATAATTGCAGTACAGTACATAGACTGAAATAGAAAAGGGCCAGTAGATTACCATAAGGAGCAAATGAATAGAAACCGCAGCCAGGTGGGTGATGTAGTCGCGTGGAATGGGGGTAGGCTATGTGCAGCAGACTAATCCCAAGCTTACAACTACCACCAATATTGAATCACACCTGAACATGTCAGGGCGCCACTCAGCTGGTATTTGCTCACAGTGGAGACCAACAGGACCAGATGGCCAGTAGAGACGCAGTCCAAAGTAACCCGCTGAGAACGAGGTCACTGTGCACAAAAAGGAAATGCTGTCACCTGTCACAGATGTCTCTGTCTCTCTTCCTTTATCTGAATGGATCTCTGAGAGCAAACAAGTGTGTGCATCTTCCTGTCATGTTTTGCATGCTATGTGTTTGTGTGCCCTGGAGTGTACTGTAACAGTATTTTATAAGACTGCTCACAAGAGAAACAATAATAAAGATGAGCAATTATGACTGCTAACAATGATAGAGGGCAACAGACATCATATACATTTAAATGTTGCATTTCCTAGCCAATCCGCGGTGCATCGTGTACACAATTATAAACTAAATTAAGCATGTTCTGAAATAACTCAGCTCTAGAGATGTGTTTACATACTTGCTGTATAAAAACCTTTTTTATGTGGTAACTTTGGGTTTACATCATAACCACTGTTAAACAGACAAGAACATGACTTGTGCAGAAAAAGGTTCTTACTTACATTACAGTGTAGGATGTTGATATGAGCACACAAATTGACACAGCTTGGTATCCCCCCTTCCTAAATATATTTCCAGCTTTAAAATCAGTTATTTGGCTCACTAAGCTGTCTGTTTGTGTCAGGAAGTGAAGGGTGCACTGTAACTCATTAGTATACCTTTCCCAGCTCATTATACAGCATGGTCACTCCTGAGTCCTCTGCTCATTCCGTTATAGTATATCACAATGATATGTGCCAGCAAGTGAGAAGGACACAGGTAAATTGTCATGGGAGCTTTGAGGCTGGAGGCCTTGCACAGAAAGTGACTGTAAATTAACTAAGGGTGGATCATTGCCATGCGAAAGGGAGGAGAAAGGAGATTAGGGATCTTTAATTCATGACAGTAATGAAATGAATCAAGCTGTTGAGTCTCAAAGGCAGCAGGTCCCTAGGCTGAGGTTCTACTATTCTTTTCATCCACAGTCTGATGGCTCAAAAGGAAAACAAGGGCATAAATGACTTCCTCTGGAACTGGAAAAGTTACTGTCCCACTGCCATCGAAGCTACTGCAGGACCAGCATTAGTGTATGTGAATGGAAGCTGCATCTTAAGGTTTTTGCTTAGTTAGATGACAGAAGGAAAAAGTGGAACATAATGTTGGGGGTCCATGTTGTAATATGTTAAATGTCATAGACATTCATTAGGGCCACCAATGCATTAATCAGTTAGTGTGGCACAGTCATTTTTCCACCTTAAATGAGTATGTGTCACAGCCCTCCAAAAATATAGTTAAGAATGGTATTAAAAATTCTGATTTTTGTCTTTCTAACATTCTTTGCCATCACTAGACTGTAACTGAGCTGAAATCGTACATTTTACAACTTTCTACTCAAACACACAGGGTGACTAGGATAACAAAAAATTTGAGAATTTAATAGAATGAGCAAAAATAAAAAAAAATCAAATTCTGTCTAAAGGAAAAGAGAGAAAATGCAAATCCTCCTCATGGAGGGAATCCCTACTGGCTGAGTTTCACAGTATATGCTTGTGTTAAATATTAAATATAGTGTGAAATATAATATAAAGCCAGTCCAGAGCAATACTGTTAGAGTAAGAGTTATTTTATTGGTCTCATAACTCTGCATATGATAAAGAAATTGGTGTATTGCTCCTGTAGGCCATATTAACAAAACACATGCAAAGTACATATAGTATATGCAGAAGCAGCAAAGCACTTTTGTACAGAGTAACTGCACTGATGGGATGTTATGTAAAATCAAAGCAAATACAATTATTAGGCATGCATGTGAGATACCAAGGTACATGTAGGCTGGCTGTGTGTCTGCTATGTGGCCCCCTGGCAGTTCTAGCCCCTCAGTCTTTACCACCTTCTTGCTTCTTACTATCACCCGGCCACACTTCTCCAGTCTGAGTGACATCTTGATGTCCTCACTGAAGATCCATGTCAGGTGGATACAGTGAGTCGATGTCCCGTTCATTCTTTGCATGCAGCTTGATGTCATCTATGTAGAGGAGGCGGCTGATGGCAGCTCCATTCTTGAGCTTGTATCCATACCCGCTCCTTGTGATGATCTGACTGAGGGCGTTCAGGCCCATGCAGAACTACAGCAGGGATAGTGCATCACATTGGTATATGCTGCACTTGATGTTCACTTGTGCGATTGGTCAGGAGTTGACTTCCAGGGTTGTTTTCCACAGTCCAGTCGAGCTCTTGATGAAGTTCTTTAGTGTCCTGATGACTTTGTATAGTGCCAGGCATGCCCAGATCCAGCAGTGAGTCATAGGCTTTCCTCTAGTCACTCTAGGCAGTACTCAGGTTGGGCTGTCTGGTTCTTGAATCATTGGTGACTGCTCTGTCTATCAGCAACTGGTGTTTTGAGCCTCTGGTGTTGTTCCCAATGGCCTTCTGAGCTGCTCATGTACTGGCTCATCTGGACCTGTAGCTTGGCAGCTATGATGCCTGATAGGACCTTCCATTTTGTGGAGAGGCAGGTTATTGGTCGGTACTTGGATGGTGCTGTTCCCCTGTGGGGGTCTTGATCAGCACCGTCCTTCCTTGTGTTAGCCAGCCTGGGTGGGAGCCTGCTGCTAGCAGCTGGTTCATTTGTGCCACTGGGCATTCGTGTACTGCTGGAAGGCTCTTTAGCCAGTAGGTGTGGATCATGTCTGGACCGGGCGCTGTCCAGCTCTTCATGTTCTTGACTCGCTGTTACAGTGATGGTGACTGGCTCCTGTTCTGGGAGGTTCCTGTGGTCTACCCTCAGGTCCAACAGCCACTGGGCACTGATTTTATGTGTCTTTTCTTCTTCCCATATGCACTTTCAGTACTGTTTGGTTTGTGCTTGTGGTGCACATAAAAATAAATAAATAATAAATAGATAGATATTTTATTTTTATGTGCTTGTATACAGAAACTACACAATGAAAACAGGGTTGGCTATAGTGTACATACAATATAGCAGGTGCAGGTGAGTGATACCAACAGCTGTAACCAGCTTTATTACTACTACCTGATTATATCTTAGTTTATATTAGGTGTAAAGTGAAACACTTTTGATCATCTTATTGATAAGATGTTTTTGAAGTGAGAAATTCTCTCAGGATGGATTCTGGGAGCATAATCCAATCACAGCTACTGTATGTACTCCCCCAAAAGTGCCATTACTCTCTGCGCCATCCATGTCTTATTTTTATTTTTAGCTTTTGCCTTTCCTCTCCTTTCTTTTCCAAATTTGCAGGACAAAGAGTTCACCCTGCTCTCTCAGCTTCTGCTCATTAGGCCAGGGAGTCAGATATTAATTCTGGCCTTGGTGA